GGGATGAACGGAGTTTTTTTAAGTGGATACGGGGATGGAGACTACACCCCCGCTTCGGTCCACTGTCATCCCTACGAATAAGGCACAAGTGAGATGGGTTTGTGTCAAGAAACACTCTATTTGTACCCGACTTATTTACTAATTTTTGTATAATGAGTCGTGTCATATTAAGTTCATATTGTATATAAATTGTATATAACCAATATATAAACAACTTATGTAATATATTTTTTTTTATTAACTTCACTCATAGTTTATTATTCGCATCATGTCGGATCTACCCATTTACGAAATAGATGACTTAAGAAAAACTCAAATTATCTAATTTTGTGTCGTATTCTTATTGTATTAATAAGGTGTGACACATTTTGACACCACTAACTATGACCATCCCTTTCTTAGTTTTCTAAAAATAGGTTGTTGATGATAAATGAATTAATTTTTGGATAAATTATGTTGAAACCTTGAGGCTCGTCACTAAATCATACAAAAATGGGTTGTTGACGATAAATGAATTAATTTTTGGATAAATTATATTGAGACCCCTTAAAATTTGTCACTAAATCATTCAGATATCCTTATATATGAAAAATAACACAGTATTCCCTTGAAGTTTGATTTTATATAACACCTTGCCCCAAAGTGTTATCATTCATTTGATAAGTCATCATCAAACTACCCAGGCAAGATCTACTACCATAAAAACTAAACTATCACAAAAAACTTAAATTTTTTTAAATTTTCGGAAAACTCAAACTCATCCAACCTATTAACCACATTAAATTGAAAACACCTATTTCATTAACTTCATACAAGAGCATCTTTAACAAGTTTTTGTATTTTGACTATCCAAAAGTATATTTTTTCTAGGGTAAATTGCATTGTTAATCCCTGAGGTTTGACATGTATAGCACTTTCATCCATGAAGTTCTAATTTCGATAATTTTATCCTCCATGTTACAAAATTGATTGACTTTTGTCTTTACCCCCGACAACCGTCCAAAAGAATAACAGAAAATGACACATGAGCGGCATGTGATGGAACAAGAAGGTCAATCTAGTCATTTAATGGTCATTCTAATCTCTTCAGTTGCATGAGGGTGTTTCTGTTTGTCGATCCTACCTAGGGTTTACTATTGGATTCGGAGATTTCGTCTTCTTCTTCTGGTGCTGTTGAAATCAAGAGTAATTCCACTTGCAGATGCAACACCAAAGCCATTTGTGCATTACAAAGGAACCACATAAATGGGGAAATGACCAGGTACATCAAATCTTCAAATATCATTCTATTTAACAATTTATATCACATTATACACGATACATTCAATCAAATTGTGAAGGACACAACACAAGGAGATGATTTTCTGTTCTTTTCTTTTTGGTAAAGGAAATAAAAGATTGTTAGATCAAACCCTATGAACTATTATCCTATTTCTGCTTGTACATTATCTTATTTTGTTATGTTCAAGAACAAATGGGTTAGTGAGAGAAACAAATATAACTACCAAATTAAAGAATACAAACCCAGATAAGAACTTCATCATCTTCTGCTCTTCCAAGCATAAACCAGCAAAGAAAACCCAGAAGGACCCTTCAATTCATTCTCTTCCATGCTCGCCCACTCCATCACAGAACTATAGCTCAAAGAGGCCGAAGACAATGACGAAGAAGTTGAGCTTCCAGCTGATCTCAGTAACCCTTTCTTCATCTTCTTGGTCTCAAATTCAAACCCACATGACTGTTGAGACCACAAACTTAACCCATTCCTATCATGCAAATGGGTAAAGTACTCATCTTCAAATTCTGATTTCTCAAATCTGAACATGAACAGGGCATACCCCTTCAAACAACCAGTTGTCTACGTCCCATGAGACTTGAATTTGAACCCCATCAACTTCAATCCTCGCATTTCCTCTGAATTTCCATTTCAAATGCTTGACTGGGTTTGATTCCATACATGTGTTCTCTTCCAAGAAGATTTGAATATTGATATTGGATGTGGGTTTGTTGATATTGAGCTTTTTTGAGCCGTGTCTGTTCCAGAAAATGAAGGGCTTGATGCAAAGCTGGTAGGAGGGTGTGGAGAGAGAAGGGAAAGAGAGGTTTTCGTCGTAGTCAGAGACGCCGGCAGAGATTTGGTCGAGAAGGAGGTGGAGATGGAGGGAGTGCCAAAGAGATTGTCGGACCATGTGAGGGCAAATATGCCAAAGTTAGTGTGGTATAGAGAGATGGTGAGGTAGGGATTGCCGGAGAGACATGGTGGTGATGAAGTGGTGTGGTGGTTTGTGACGACGGAGGTGTTGGTGGTGGGGCGGAAGCAAGAGGGTAAAAGGGAATAATGGTGGTGGTTTGTCATGGCGGTAGTTTTTGGATCTATAGATTGAGGTTGTGCAGGATTGTCCTTCCCGACCATTAAATGATTAGATTGCCCTTTTTGTCTTATCACATGCCACTCGCGTGTTATTTTTTGTCGCTCTTTTGAACCACCGTTTGAGATAAGGATGAAAGTCGATCAATGTTATAATATAGGGGATAAAATTGTTAAAATTAAAACTTCGGGATAAAAGTGTAATAAGTATTAAACCCTGAGGGACTAAGATGTAATTTACCCTTTTTTCTATTTTAACTACTCATTTTTTTAATATACGCTCTAACAGATTTTTTATATTTTAACTATTTTTTTAAAATATTATTTCTCAAATTTTGTACTTTTATTGAAAATGTTGTAGGGAGAGAGAGAAAGAATGGAGGAAAATACAAAGGGTGTGTTTGGAAAATATGTGGGGGATAGGATTGGTTTGATTTTTTAATCCAAATTAATCCAATGAAAACCCAAGTTCCGGGGGACATAGACAAAATACTTATTAAGTTGTATAATTCAATCTTTGTTATGGAAAATATTTTTGTATATTATGGGACTCACAAAAAAAATCATTATTTTTTGTGTAAAATCTCTTACCTTTCACATTAAATTACAATTTTACCCATCACTCTTATTCGATCCAAAGTCAATGTTGGGTTGCAATATTATTTATTTTGTCCACCTTTAAACTTCATTCTAATTTTCGTCTATGTTACCAAGTATACAAACTGAAAAGAATTTGTTTTTAATGTTTGTAATATCAAAAAATTGTGATCTAATTAATTTGCTCATAAAGTTGTCCCACATTATTGTAACGGAGTTTTGGCGATGAATTTTCTTAAGGACTGCTGCGTTGGTGGGTTTGTTGAAATCTTTGAGGATTGTTGTGTTTGTGCTGCTGTGATGGTGGGTCTGTTGAAGATGTTTGAAGACTGCTGTGATGGTGGGTATACTACCAGTGAAAGCTACTACAAATTTTAGTGTTTTAATTTTTCTTGTTTGTAGAGGTGGTAGTTTGTTTTGAAGAATTCAAGCAAGTTGTGACTTATCCTTTTTGCTTCTCGTAAATTTTTTTGTTTTTTAATAAAAATTTTCTTTCCTTAAAAAAAAAATAAAGATCTAAAGTCATGAGTAGGTTTTGAAGCCATAAATCTTCCAACCACCCAACACATCCATAGGCCAAAAATACCAAGCCAGAATTCAAACACTTATAAACAAGAAATTGAAACGGAAGTGGGTTTGTCTGCAAATTGTTTGATAAATCACAGTGAACAAGAATAGATGGGTCTTTGGTCTTCAAAAGAGGAAATGATAAGACAAACGGAACAAACAATGGAAAGAGAAAATATTTTTGAAATGGCAGAGATCAGACTACACTTATGAACCAACAACCACAAATCAGACTACATCTGAAGTGAAGGAGAGTTTTGAGATCTAGATGAACATCGAGTTTTGGTGTTCAAGCAAAAGGGTGCCACAAGGATAGAGAGAGAGGGGGATATATATATACACATATGTAGAAAGGGAGACAGGGACAGGGCGAGTTTGAGATATATATACAAAGAGAGAGAGATAAAACTTGCAGTGGGGGACTGATGGGCGCCGCTTGTGGGAAGAGAGGACCAATGAGAAGATCTAAAGAGACAAAAAATGGGAGGGGTAAAAATCCTACATTTGTTACTGTACAAGGGTATTATAATTATTCCAAGGCCAATCCGGATTTTGGGCTAACTAATACCAAAGTTACTGTGGGATATAATAAAGTGGGTCAAATGGGATAAGGAGGAAAAAAATACTATGGGCCGAGGAATTGAGCGCAACGAATATTCCATTCACAAAAGTGGATTCAAACCAAGGATTTATGGGCTACTGGACAATATAACTCAATCCAACTAGGAGTTATCCTCCTTTATCCCTTGGGCCAAACACACCCAAAGAGTGGACAAGAGAGGTGGAAAAAGACAAAAGGAGAGAGAATATATTATAAATTATTTGTACATAATGCTACAATAATAATTTAAATATAGATCATCATTGTAGTAAAATTGTATTTTATCTACTTAGACATCTTTTATTGGAGCATAATTTTTATCTTTAAATAACTAAATTTTAGCTATTTTGGAATTTTAGTCATTCTCTAGCAGATACTCTAAGTAATTGTTTTAATTTTATTGATTAACCCATTAATCAAGTTGGTTAGCTTAAAAACAAAAACACAAAAAGCTAATTAACTTCATTATTTCATCAAACTATAATAAACTAATTTAAGTAATGGAAAACCCCTTTAACTAAGCAATTAATCCCATAAAATATAGTTAAGCTAATTTAAAATTTTAAATCAATTAATTGAGCTAATTAACCCAATTAATAGAGTAATTGACTGTTAATAATTCATTTAGCAAATTAACCCCATTAATTAAGTAACTGACATTATTCTTTTAGAGAACTTACATAATTAAACCCGTCTATTTAGCCATTAACTAATTAGACCCCAATTAATCAATCTAATCAACCCTATAAATTAGACCCATTAATTAGGTAATTGAACCTTAATTTACACATTAAATCTGCCTATTAAGCTAATTAACCAAATAAATCGAGATAATCATTCCCACCCATATCCATCATCGACTCCACCATACCACAAACAATGCCGCATCCACCCAAAGCATTGCCACCTTCCTTCAAAACCACTGTCATCACACATATATTTTCCACCACGACACTGCCCCACCAACCACTCACCACCACTGTAACCCATAATCACACGCAGAACACTTCTCTCTCTCTCTCTCTCCTTCTCTCTCTCCCAGCAAACTTATATACACAGACCATCACCGACACTTTTTTTTCTCTAAAAACATACTTTCACTAGGTTGTCGAATCTAGTTGTCAACTCAATTCTTTCAAATTATTTCTCATTATTAAGAAGAGGTAAAATATGAGCTTATTTTATAACAGTAGTAATTAATNCACAGAACACTTCTCTCTCTCTCTCTCTCTCTCCTTCTCTCTCTCCCAACAAACTTATATACACAGACCATCACCGACACTTTTTTTTCTCTAAAAACATACTTTCACTAGGTTGTCGAATCTAGTTGTCAACTCAATTCTTTCAAATTATTTCTCATTATTAAGAAGAGGTAAAATATGAGCTTATTTTATAACAGTAGTAATTAATCGTTGTTGTTTCAAGGTCAATCTATTCACTCACCTAAGTAATCTTTTTCCTTGTTCACTAATAAATTGACTAATTAAAATCATGGTTCTATAATCAGTTCAATTCCCCGATTGNACAAGAGGTAAAATATGAGCTTATTTTATAAAAGTAGTAATTAATCGTTGTTGTTTCAAGGTCAATCTATTCACTCACCTAGGTAATCTTTTTCCTTGTTCACTAATAAATTGACTAATTAAAATCATGGTTCTATAATCAGTTCAATTCCCCGATTGAATCAGGGGCAAACGCCTATGAAAAGATCGATTGGATTTAAAAAAAGGTCACTGGTCTTATTGCAGCTTGTGGCCTTGCTTGCTGAGTTGCCTGTTGAGGTCTACCTAAAAATCCCCCTAGGCGGGGAGATTGAAATGCAACCAAACACCTGGAGCCTGAATAAGAGACTAATCAAGGTGAATCCTATGGGGCATAGGACTCATCCAAAGGTGCAGCAGACTCAGAAGGGGGGAAAGAGAAGAGGACGAAAACGAAGTCACAGAGAGGATGTGCCCGTGGATTCAAACTTCCCGGGGGGGGAGGAGAATTTTTCTTTTATCATGCTCCCTACTCTACTGAAAAACATAAGGACGCTAAAAACATTACGTTTTTCAACAAGCAATCAAACTAAAGCGCTAACATCCTATCTATAGTATAGTAAGGGGCCTTTTTAATAAGGCTCGTGTAGGGACGCTCACATTTTTTGGCTTGTAATTTTTTATACCTGAGGGGATCTATATGATTTAATGACAAATCTCAGGGGATATGATATAATTTACCTTTAATTTTTGTGCAAAAGGATAAGATGACGACATTAAGCAGCAAAGAAAACAAATCCAACTGGGGAAGAAATATTGCTCAGAGGGTTATTTTCGTCATGAAATGTGAAAATTTTAGAGGGAAACCATAGAAAATAAAGGCCACAACACTGTTTTAGCTAGTGAAGCACAACTTTCGTGGCTTTGGATGATAAATCTAATGGATTCACTAGGAACCAAAATTATAAGGGGGTTATGAGTATAATATGGAACATTAGCGTGGTAAAGCGCAAATCTTCCCAACCACAGAGTGGTAAAAAGTAATTAACCCAAAAAAAAATATTAAATAGTTAAAAGAGAAAATATTCAATCTAAAACAATACATTATATTATCATTGTCACTTGGTGTTACAATTTAAAAATAATCAAGGTTAAGATTTAAGTATATTAAGACCACGCTTTCTAACCGTGAGACAAACTTAATCTGAATCAATTTCTAAATTATCATGGTTTTTAAGCTTTATTTTTTCTCTACCAAAAATTTAATTTAAATTTTGAACTAGCATTATTGTCATAATAATAGATTCTAAATTCATCTTTTCAATTTAAAAGTTTAGTTAGGAGTTAGGACTCCGGTCCTATCCAGGTGGATGAGTCTTCTCACTTTTGATGAAGAGGCTTGACTCTCCTCCCTACCATCCCCCCCCTACTTATGGAACTAAAAATATGTTAGAAAATAAGTAAAAATCTTTGCAAAAGTGTCACAGATAATTAGAAAATAATAATCATAAATTCACATTTCCTATTATTTTATGTAGGGGTGATAATTTCTGACACAATACGAAAATAATTCAAAATTGATATAAAATTAGTGGATTAGGATTAACTATTTCTCAACACAAACATGTATATGACACTGCATGTTAACACAAATAATAAATGAGTTAGATTAATGTCAAATATGAACAACACGAAATTGACATGATTAACACGTTTAAATATTATTATAAGAATAAAATGTAAATTTTTTATTATGTTTTATCAAGTATTAACCTAATTCTTATAACAAAAAAAAGAAGAAGATATTTTTACTTATTTTTATTATTATATTTATTAAGTTAATTTTTGTTTTTAAAAAAAAATATGAGCATAGATTCGATTAAGTGATAATAAAATTTTAGACTTAAAACTAAGTGTTAAATTTTTTATTCACAAGTTATATGGGTTAACACGAATACAATACGCAAATAAATAGATAGACATAACACAACACGATTAGTTAAACAGGTAAGGCCGGCCCAATAGGTAGGCCAACTAAGCAACCACCTAGGGCCTAAACAAGAGATGGTCTTCAATTATGTTTGTAATTTTCACCTATTTTTTTGGCTCAAAAAAATATTTTAGATACAAAAAACCTAATAATTTGCAAATTCTTAGAAAAAAAACCCAAATAAATCGAGAGGCCCAAGGGTATCTTTTCAACGGTCAAATCACTAAAATATCAAATGTCGTAACACAATTCAAATCTACAAATAAATCTCTCTCTCACACACACACACACTAATTAGTCTGCATTAAAAAAAAATTGTATACTTAGTTACCCATATCACTAAAAAAAATTTTTTCTTTGCCATGATCTTTGTATACACATATAAACATCAATAAGTTATTTTTTTATATTTTTATAATATAATTATTTAATTAACTATTTTTTTTTGTGAAGGTATAATTTATTAGACAATTTAAAAGATGAATAAAGTCAATTTATACAATCTCTATTTACCATGTATTATTGTTCTATTTTTATTAAACCTTCTCTTAGTATAACTATTTATTGTTTTGACACTTTGTTTTGCTTACAAGAATTTTGGGTTTTGAATATGTCAACTGTAAAAATATGAATCCAAATATTAAAAGCATATAGAAAAATTAATCACTAATTTTACATCACAAAAAATGAGAATAACAAATTTTAAATGAAATTTAGTCGTATGTTAAAATTATATTTATAAAAAAAATTTAAAGGGCTCCATTTATAAATTTTCACTTAGAGCCTCATCTTGTATCGGGCCGGCCCTGTAAATAGATTGGGTTAGGATTTGACGCGACACCACACAACCACCCCTTGTTTCATGTGATGAAATGGATAAAAGATTCCAACTTTACTACATTTCCCATTTTTGTATTGAAATTGGCATCAGATTCAACTTATCACTAATTATAAAAAAAAAATAAAACTTTACATTTTTAACAATATGAAATCAGTTCAAGTAATTGAGAAAGTAATGTGACAAATTTTGAGGAAAATAATGTAATTAACCCCTAACAATAAGAAATGGGCAATGGCCATGGAATTGCAGGCTTAGAGCCTGTTACAAAAATGCTAAAACGTTAAATCAATACTCAGCCTCTTTGATTATCAAGGACTTATTTGGATGATAACTCTTTTTATGAAAAGAAAATAGGCAAAAATATGTCCAACAAATATTCATCTTAGTACCTCATAATATACAACCAACATTTACTATGTTCTTTGCCCCTTCTGAAATACGTTATGTGCAAGAATATGTCTTCCATCTTGCACAGTTCTCATGTCAATGAAGCCATAAGTGGCCTTTCTGAATTATTTGGTTTGGCCATGCTTGGTGGCCATAGCCTTTCACTCCTAAGGAGGTTCCAGTATCCAAGGCCAATACACTGACCTTGTGAATAACAGTTGAAATACAAAAAAAAAACACGGGGAAAAAGAAGCATAATACAAAAAAACAACTAGATCGGGCGTACAATGAGGTGCGTATCGCAGAACAAGACAAGCCAAGGATGACTTGTGTCACAAACAAGCAACCTTATTATGGCTGATGCATCATGTGTACTTCAAATGGCTCAGTTTAATATTTCCAACTACATCAATCAATCACTGTCTGCTTTAAATCCTCAAATGGTAGACAAGATTATTAGGAATACGAAAATCATCATAGGTTTGTCTAAATTAGAGTCTTATTCTCTAATCAACAGTACAAAAACAGACTAAGTTGCACAAGAATGCCTGATGAAGTTAGTTGAAACCTAAAAGGGTAAAGGCACAATAGGAAGTTGAACATAAATGTAAGGAAGAATCTATACTAGTATTAAAGGGAGAGGAAATGTTTGGTGTTCTCTTCTTTTGTCAAGCAGTTGCTTACATTAATGGTAGAAAATTTTGTTATCTCTACAATAGTTTCCTTAACCATTAAAAAAGAAAAAACAAAAATACACCCCCTTTTAACTTCCTAACAAAATAAAGCTCCTCACCCTCCACGACTATCTTCTACAACTTCGCTCTGCTATATGTAACCACTTATTAATCCCCTTCTTGCTTCTATATCTTTCTACTACTTTTTATCTGCCTGCACACGGTACGGATACCGTGTGAGAAGGACCCTGTTTATATAGAAGTCCTCTCTACAGGTCGCTGTAGAGATGCAGATATCTCTAGTCATAAGCACAAACTGAACTGAATTATGAAACAGCATAAAGAAACACACAGGATGAATTTATTTTACAGTAATAAGTTTTACAACTTAGCAGCTCTCCCAAAGAGGCTGTGGGACATGAATTCCACACAATGAGCATAGTATCCCGAGTGAGCACTTCTGGTGCTCTCTTCAAATCAAAAGAATAATTCAGAGACAGATCACAACAATTACTGGAATGGGTTGGAACATAAAATAAATTCATCCCAACCCATTATTTCTTTCAAATAAATTTACCATCTAACCACCCAATCTAGTTTGTGGTTTCAACTAAAGGTGTTTGAAACAGTCAATAGTTGTCGAACTTCGACCCAGAAACAGAGGGAGCAGCACCTCTGGTTGTTTGGACATATGCAACATAGTCACTGTATTGCATGGTGAATAGTGTGCTCTGGTAACGGGTCAGTCGGATACGCTTTCGGAGTGACTCAGTTATGGTTCCATTGTAACCTGCTTTTCGCATCAGTGAGTCAATCGCTTCTGTCTTTGTCCAACCTGAAATCAAAAATAAGCCACCAGCACAAAAACTGTTTTACCAATCAAAATTGAGGCTTAACAAAAAGGCTAAGCTCAAATCATTTTTATCATAAGCTCACAACACAAACATAATTAAAACACAATATGCTTTGCTCTAATGGAATCCAAACAAGATTCTAGCTGCTAAACTAACTTCAGCTCTCCTAAGCGGCACGCATCAGTTTTCTAAATAAAGTTTTTTTGGCCCACTGTTTTGGGGGGTGGGGTGGTTCAAAGTTACCTAGCTTTACTGCAGTGGAGTGGCTTTTTGAGAAAAGATGAGGGGCAAACTTAGTAAGATATCGGGGAGGCGAAATATGCGAGTTTGCAATATATGAGATCGCAAACTTAGTTCGAAGCTAAATATGAATTGAGAGGAAATATTAATAAAACTTCTAGTAAAGATCCCGATCTTTCCTAGTACTAGCATCCGTACCTAAACTAGCGATAGGATTGATTACTCTAAGATACTTAATCTAAGCATGTGTCTGACTTTAACTAGTTCTATAAAAATGTACATATATGTGTGCATGTGTATATAATAATATATATTTATAGTTTTCTAGTAGTTTTTGAAGTCCAATAGTATAGTATGTTTTATCAAAGGAGTGGAGGTTGGAAGAAGCAAGATAACAATCACTTGAAATGTCTTTTCCATATCTCTCCCTCATGTTTCAAAAACTCAGGAAGCAGAAAGTAGAACAACCAGTGAAGTAAACTAAGATGGAGAAAAACTAACATAAAAGAGAAGCTTGACTCATTGCTTAACCATGCAANTGTCTCTCCCTCATGTTTCAAAAACTCAGGAAGCAGAAAGTAGAACAACCAGTGAAGTAAACAAGATGGAGAAAAACTAACATAAAAGAGAAGCTTGACTCATTGCTTAACCATGCAAAACTAAAATGTCTTCAAATAAAGCAACTTGTGTTCCTAAGCAACGGTGTTTTCCCTTAATAGTAATGTTATTACTGAAAATCTTACAGATATGAAAAAGAAGAGTTGAAACACAAGAATAAGTTGGGAAAAAGAAGGAAATCAGTAAAAAAAGGGTCTCGGCTTATCTTAGAAAGCTTATATTAGAAAAATCATGTCTGGTAGAGCATTCCCAGTCATTCTGATAGGCTCCTACCATCTTTTCAAGTTAAATTTTGTGCTAAGGAAACTTAAATAGAAAGCATATGCACCGCATGTTACCTTCATGAGCAGCCACCTCAGGCAGGTATGTGGCACTTCGCCTTGTATTATGGTCAGGATCAGTAAACTCAATAATTATACCATGCTTTCCAATCTACAAGAAGGCACAAAATTCTTGAGGAAAAAAATTATGTATGACTTTGACAAACGAGTACGTAGGTAAGGTAGGTCAAAGTTAGAAAGCTTTATTTGTTTAAATTATTTACCAACACTACCCAACATAGAATTCTTTTATCGGCCAGTTAGTATCCGATCATCCACTTAAACAATTCACCAATATCTTATGGAATGCTTTATAGTAGGGAAAAACTTATTCGAATAGCTAGGTGGGAAGAAACAAAAAGTTAGTTCGAGACCTGAAACACTTACGTCGAACTGTGTATATGTGTGAGTGCATACAGAGATATATGGGAAAGTGTGACGTTTGGTGATTATGTGTGCAAGTAAAAATATTCAGTCCTGCACAAACATATTTTCTGGCCAATGCATTGGTAAACTAAAATAACTGTTTATGAGATCTTAATGAAATACTAACAGAAGCGAATCCTTGAATTCAGTATTTCTTGCCACCAACACATCAATTAGTAACGCATTTTATTGTTTGAATCAACATGTTCGAGATATGCATAGACCATCGAGTCTTGATTTAAGACTAAAACTAGTTTGGGAACATACCTCCCAGTCAAGGTAATGGAGAGCAGTTTCATAATTAACCAGAATGGAAACTGTACATTCCAAAAAAGGTAACTCTTTGGCCTGAATGGGCGGGAAGCGGCGGTCCCTTAAAGCGCTGCAAAATAGCACAAACACAGANACAGAGGGAGAGATAGCATGAGCACCGCAGGACATAAAAAAGCCAATACTTTGCAAAATCAAAATACTTTGCTCCCATAATACCTTGTTAACGCATAGTCCTTGAAACCATTGATTAAGCAGCGAGCTTCCAATGTTCCAATGCACCCACGTAAACGAGGCTCCCCACCATTAACCACTTTCTTCCAAGTAACAAATAATGGGCTGGAAGTAAATTGTAATTTGGGAAAGATAAGAACATCATATCCAACAGGGTTATGGCTTGTGAGTTATAGCCGTAATTAACATTGCATTTACAACATATAAAAGGCCTTGTCTCAAACTCCAAATTTGGGGAAAAAAAAAATCATAAGTAGAACATTTAATCACCTGCAACGTTACAAATAATGTAACTCATATGCTTACCGCCAATGCAAGTCAAAAATGCAAATGGAGCTTATTTTGTTAGGGCTCCACATAACAGTGTAAGTGTGGCACATGACCACGGAAAAAGAACTAGTGAAATGTCACAAAACACTAATTTCAAAACAGGGTGACACTTCTGAAATTCTTCTCTTTTATCCTCTATATATACAAAAAAAAAGTCTCACTTATAAGATGTAAATGTAAAATCATTGTTGAGTTTGAAACCTCAATAATCATGGTACCACAGGTATATTGGGATATGAGAAATCAAGAAAAGCAAGGCAAATAGCTATGAGAAGAGCAATGAGAAACCAATAAAGACAAATTTCCACAACATAAGCAGTAAAAAAAGACATTCATACATCTTTTAAAAAAAATTAATCTCAAAGGCAATAATGCGCAAAATTTGAAATGTGAATATAAACAAATAAAGCTTAAGCAAGTAAACAGTCTAAGGGTGGCTAGTCGAAAGAACAGTTCAATTCCAAGTACACTGGTATTAGAAATAAGAAAACAAAGCATTAGATATTGGGTTGCCTCTGCTCCACAATCGAATGCAACCATAAATTGTTCTTTTTTCCCATGTAAAATATTTGCACAAGTCACTCGTTGCCCCTGTAAAAAGTGAACCATTTAAACTCAAGGCTTAACACATTACCCTATATTTCCTTTTTTTTTTTTTTAACTACCCTGTATTTCACCAAACCCTTTTGTTCCCTAAAATTTTGCTCTAAAAATTTTTTTCCAACGGAAAAAAAAATCTGCTTTCGTACAAAACCACATCAACCAAATCACCCATATAAGCTAAAAAGGAAAAAAAAAAAAATTTGTCCAGTCTGATCCCGTTACTTGAGCGTGATGAGAGGGGTGGCAGTGACAAACTATGCCCTCACACTCGAAGCCACAACCTTTCCCCTGTTAATCCAGCATTTGCGCGTATAGCTATTTTTCCAACAACCTCGTTGAATTAACCCCAAATTATTAAAAGAAAAAAATTTGGCCGAGAAACTTACTATAAAAAGAAACCCAGAAAGAATAATGATATATAAATCCTATAGCACGAGAGAGAGAGAGAGAGAGAGAAGGCGTACTGTTGACCCTCATCGAAAGCAGGAGGAGGGGTTTGTTCGCTGTTGTAGTGGGCGACCAGTGTGTCGAAGCAATACACCACCATCTCCCTATTTGCCGACACCATTTTTTCTTTTTCTTTCCTAAAAATCTTCAGAGAGAAATGGGGTGCGTGGAGAATTTCAGATACCCAGATCGATGATCAATTGATCTGATTATCAGTTATCCACCAATTATTCTTCTACTCTGATGGAGAGAATAGAGGTTTCGTGTAAGCTACTGCTGAGAGCCTTCTTTTAGGCCCTTTGGCTTATAACTTTCCTTAATGCTCTGAGACTGAGAGACTCCTTTTGATTCCGGGAATTATTGAAGAGTAGCCTAGTTGAACAATCTTTCCCTTCCCTATAATTCCGCTAATAAAATAAAGAAAATTGGGACCTGCAAGTTAGTCTGCATAGTAATTGAATTATAAATAGATTTTATTTAATATTAAACTTTATAATTAATTTAATAATTCTACTTCTGATCAGATCCTTAAATTAGATTATTATAACATTGCTAGTAGGACAATTAAAAATACCCTAATTCCCAATTATTGGTTCTGATCATGATGTGATATTATTCTTAATACTTGGTACTATAGTATAATCTATATTTATACTACTTATAAATATCATCATCTACAAAAAAATTTAATTTTTAATTTTTTCCTAAAGTCAATTATACTAACCTATATACTTTCATTAAATTTTTATTTTTTATTTTTATTTGACTTTTAACTTATTTTGAACTTTTTTGTAAGAATTTTTAAATTCTTTTGAACTTATTTGTTAGTAGTATAATTACATACAATCTTTTATATCTATATGAAGATGTAAAATTTACATGTAGTTACCAAATTGAATAAATGTCGGTCTCTACAAAAAAAAAACATTAATTTTATATTATATCCCTAATTATTATAATAAAATCAATTATACCTATATATATACTTTCATCTAATTTTTATTTTTTTCCCTTATTTAACTTTTAATTTATTTTGAACTCTTTTATAAAAGCTTTTAAATTCTTTTAAATTCATTTATCAGTAGTATAGTTACATACAATCTATATCTATATAAAGAAATAAAGTCTTATACATATTACATTACATATAGTTACTAGATTGAACTTCATTGTCAAATATATATTATATTTTATTTTTTTAGTATGTAATAATATAATAACATTATAAATGATTTAATCAATCTATTTAATAAAATAAAAGTTAATAATCTATATAATAAAGTAGTTAGAAAAATTTGTCTTGAAATTTTTGCGGTTCAAATTGCTTGATGATTATTGACCCGATAGTCCTCATGCCAAAATTTTCTAAGGCTCATATCTCTCCTCTAACTGTCTTCATATCTCATTCTAATTGATATAACTCTTTCCCTCCCTAATTGGACTTTTATTTTTTTTTAAATTCTAAGACTTTCATCTCTTAGATAACTCTCTTGCTCTATCTCATACTCTCTGTCCTATCTCTCACACATTTCAACATATACTCTATTATCTCTCATATAACTCCCTCTTAGACGACTCTATATATTTAATAATAATAAAATACATTTAATACCCATTAAAATTATCTATCTCATACTAACTAATATAACTCTCTCTATCTCATACTCTCTCCTCTCTTTCTCTAATTGGACTTTCATTTTTTTTACAACTCTAAAACTTCCGTATCTCATTTAACTCTCTCTATCTCATATTTTCTCTCTTATCTCTCACATTTTAAACACACTCTTTCATCACTCATATAACTCTCTCTTGGATGACTATATATATTTAATAATAACAAAATACATCTAATACTCATTAACGCTCTAATAACAAAGATTACCTCTAACAAATTATAGGTTCATTAACATATGTTATCCTATATGTATTTTATCTATCTATATCTATATGATCTTAATTGGATTTTCGTTCTTTTTATATTTCTTTCTCCTATCTCTTACACATTTTAAATACACACTCTCATCTCTCATATAACTTTATTTCTCTATCAACCTCATACTCACACTCTCTCTCTCTATCCTAAACGCTTATAATAATAAAGTAATAGTAGTTGAAGAGTTTGGTTTGAACAACTATATACATCTAATAACAACAAAATATATCTAATACCCATTAAAACTCTAATAGCAAGGATTCCCTAACAAACAATTTAAACACACTCTCCCATCTCATATAATTTTCTCTCTTTATCTCATAGTCTCATCTCTCATATGTTGTCTCTCATATAGCTCTCTTCCTATCTATCTCATACTCTCTCTCTCTCTCTATATATATATACCCACCAACACACATGTCAATAACAGCTCTTACAAAAAAAAAAGATATTTTTTAGGTATAATAATTAAATATATAAATTGTGTATATGCTGATATTTTTTTAGGGGTTGTGTTTTTAGAGGAAGTTTTGTCAAATTTTTTTAAAAAAAGTGTTTTCAAATTGATTTTGAATTATGTAACTAAAGAAAATAATAAAAAATAAAGTATTGTTTGAAAATATTTNAAAGAAGAAGATATTTTTTAGGTATAATAATTAAATATATAAATTGTGTATATGCTGATATTTNTATATATATATACCCACCAACACACATGTCAATAACAGCTCTTACAAAAAAAAAAGATATTTTTTAGGTATAATAATTAAATATATAAATTGTGTATATGCTGATATTTTTTTAGGGGTTGTGTTTTTAGAGGAAGTTTTGTCAAATTTTTTTAAAAAAAGTGTTTTCAAATTGATTTTGAATTATGTAACTAAAGAAAATAATAAAAAATAAAGTATTGTTTGAAAATATTTATATTGCATGACCGGTGGTGAAGATTTTTGAGTTATTTAGCGCTTTTAGACACAAATTATTATTAGTTTTATAATATAATTAGATGTGNGTATATGCTGATATTTTTTTAGGGGTTGTGTTTTTAGAGGAAGTTTTGTCAAATTTTTAAAAAAAAGTGTTTTCAAATTGATTTTGAATTGTGTAACTAAAGAAAATAATAAAAAATAAAGTATTGTTTGAAAATATTTATATTGCATGACCGGTGGTGAAGATTTTTGAGTTATTTAGCGCTTTTAGACACAAATTATTATTAGTTTTATAATATAATTAGATGTGCAAATGCCTAGAGGGATCAAAAAGATACTTAAATAAATGAAATATTAGGTTCTCAAAGACTTATAAAATAAATATAATAATTAAATTTAACAATAATTAAAACATAGTAATTATTTGGCACATAATTTATTATTTAATTTAATTACATGTATAATTCATATTTTTTATATAAAAAGATATTATTTAAATTTATTTGTGTAACGTACGTCGTACATTACTAATAATTAAAAATAGGGGACTCAGACAATAGGTACAAAGTCATGCACTTTTAAGATGAGTGATTCACCTTGGATACTTTTAAGGCGAAAAGTCTATAAAATATATAGTTGATACCCTTAACGAAGGATGTTGGTTAAATATTAAAATCATGACACCATTAAATATTTAATCAATAAAAATGACTGAAAGTAAACTGGAATTGTAATTTTATGGTAATATAACAAAAGTCATCTATAACGATTTGAATAATTAAAATTTGGATCTCCTTCTATCGTTGCTGTACATCCGAAAAAAGAATCTCTAAGTCACTGGTATGAGATGGAGACATGCACCAACCCAATGAGGTATTGGAAGAAACGCCACCCCTCCCCATCCACATTTATCAGTGAACTTGTTTATTGGATATTTAGATTAAATTTAAATCTAATCCTCCTCACAGAACACCGCCGCCGCCCCCGCCCCCGCCCCCCGCGGTGGATAAAATAAAAAACAACACCATCAACAACCAAGAAAACCCACCAAACCTCGCCGTACTTCCTCCCCCCTATTTACATTTATACGAGATTTCAGTGTAACTTGCCCATTAGATAGTCGGATTGAAATCGACTTATTTCAAATAGATTTTGTAGTGGTCAAAATCTGATTTACTAACAAACCTAGTAGCGCCCAGGTGATTTCCCACTTCAAATTTCCATTATGAAGACCCTATTTAAATAATCCGATGTCTAAAACCATCCAAAAATGTTTGAAGGTAACAATTGTGTAGGCATACACTTCCAAATTTATAGGAGGAAGATGCATTCAGAGAAGGGGTAGTCCAAACGTACCTTTAGCCATACATTTTTCTGAAAGCAGCAGTACAGTGTTTGTTCCTGTTTTCAGTGAAGTTTTCATCCACTACAAACAGAATTCAAATTTCGGTTTCTATTTCCTTTATGATGTTTACATTAGGCGAATTTGATGCCTTTTCTTTTGTTGGTTGCCAAAATTATAGAAAAATCAAATAAATATTTAAACAAATACCAATTCTTGAACAAGAGTTCAGAATACATCACCCTATCAAAGTCGGAGAGATTATGCTAGTTTTGGGGAAAGCACTCAAATACATGACAAGGTTATACACTTCCAATTGGCATTCCTTCAGTCAGAGTCGTGTCTTCTCTTCTCCTTGTCTTTTTTGTGTTTCCTTTTGTCATCTGAATCACGAGAGTGTCGCTTCTCATGCTTCTTCTCTTCACGCTTCCTTTTCTTGCGGCTACTTTCATCTTCAGACTCCTGTTCATTGTTCCTTGCGGATGAATTAGGCATAGAAACAGTCGTCTTCTCAGGCAACTCCACCGTCAAGCTGGATGACAAAGAACTTGATTCTTCCCAACTGCGGGGTGCCCTGCAGTAATTCCAAGAAAAAAATATTTTACCCGATACAGGAGGAAGGGGAGAAAAAAGAAAAGGGGAAGATGATTAATTGCTAACTGTAATTTTTTCCTTTTCCACTGGAAGAGTCAAACCATGAACCTCCCTTATACCACCAAATCACTCAAACTGAACCATGCTCTTTTTTTCCTCTCTCTTTTTACATGGCTTTTGTCTCCAACCCAGCTAATGGGCTGGCCCCCCATATTCGCCCCACGACACCAACTATATCCAATGGGGCTCAAACACCTGAACNTCTTTTTACATGGCTTTTGTCTCCAACCCAGCTAATGGGCTGGGCCCCCATATTCGCCCCACGACACCAACTATATCCAATGGGGCTCAAACACCTGAACTTCCTTGTGGCGAATGCAGGGTCACACCACTTGGGATATTAAGCCCATAGTGAACTGACTTAATGTCAATAAAAGTCAACTGAGGATAATGATGCAAAAGTTGGGCTAGTCAACGGAGTTTTTATCTATCATTGACCTCATTATCGAGCCACCATTGGGGAGTAATTGTATCATGTCAACTTTTCAAGAATTAAGAAGTGCAACTATAAGCTAATAGAATC